AGGATATTTTGTAGTTTTATCAACAGTACTAGGGAGAAATGTTCACCTGCTTAAATATCCATTTTGTAAGACAAATAATAATGTGATTGACTGTATGGAAGAAAATGAAATAAAAAAATAAAAGAAAAAAATTAAAAAAAACCAAATGTCCAAAAATAGATGATTGGATTGAAAAAATGTGACATATTTAATCTATTGAATACTACTCAGCCATAAAAAAAATTAAACATTGACATTTTATACAAGGTGACAGATGTGGAAGACTTAATGCTAAGCAAAGCAAGTCAAATTATGAAAGATAAACTTTGTATGTCCCACTCAATATATACCAATTATCTGTGCTCTATGGCAGAAACTGAAAGTTTGTAAGGTATAGTAGCAGGTAAGGCAATGGTGGATACTTGAGATAGGAAGAATAGGGGCAACACAGGGGTGATTAATGGAGGGAGGGGAACGAAAAAGAAAAACAAAGTACACTTAATTGACAAAAAACTAAAAAGCTATTTTCTGTTGCTGATGTGTATAGTAATGTCTTTGTTTTGACCGATAAATATGGTATTCATGCTGGAAAAAGGAATGCTATACTTTGTAAAGATATATGTTATTAAATTTAATATAAAAATAAATAAATAAATAATAAAAAAATAAAGAGAAGGCCCTATAGAGAAAAGCAAAAACCAAGTAAAATAAATGTATGTGGATTCTAAGGTATTAGAATTTCTAAATCTCTCTCTAAGGAAAATGACTTACTCCAACACAAACCTCAAGCCTAAGGATGCTCTTGAAAGCAATTGGGACTTTGAGGGCAAACAAGAGGAAGTTGGTGACAGTGTGCAAACACAATCTTTTTTTTTTCTTTTTTCTTTTGAGGAGTTTTTGCCGTAGGGAGCATTTGCTTGCCAGAGAGAGAGAGAGGAGAGAGAGAAAGTGAGAAATCACCCCTGCCCCCCGAGGATGCCCATATCACAATCCCTCCTCCTCCACTCTTCTCCTGGGGCCTTGGGCATTCATTCATACATGCTTGGTGTGAGTTTCAAGTCACAGGTCTGGAACTCCAACTGTAGTCGGACATGTGGGAGTCCAGCAATGTAACCGTTACTCCATCTACTAGCCCCAAAAGCACCAATCTTAAAGACAGACCAGGAAAGCCAAAGAAAGAGCAGCAAAGCAAAACCTTCCTGGGGTATATGTTCTCAAAAACCTACCCGTCAAAAAAACATGGAATTAATCTAAGATTCCACAAACTGATGAAATCATAAGGAAAATATGGCATGTATACAGAATGATATACCAAGTTATAAGGAATGGCAGTCTCCTGTCATTTGACAGAAAGTGAAAAATTTGTATAATGTTAAGTGAGATAGAACATGCCACAATGAAAAGGTTGACAATAACCAAAAAGACATATTATGATGTTGGCTATTACACAGAGATACTGAAATTTCACAGCATTGGTGGGACTATAAATGGTGCACCCACTTTGGAACAGTCTGGCATCTCCTCAAAAGGTCAGCATAGATTTATATGTGACCTAGAAATTCTATTCTTACTTAGAACTCTAAGAGAAATGACAGTGTATGAGTGGACTTCAAAAGGTCATAGAAGTAGAATTAAAAGTATTAGTCTTTCGGTAAAAAATAATTTTAAATCATGCAAAGTTTTGTTTGTTTTGTTTTTTTTAGAGGTTTTAGCTTTAGAGTGTGTGTACTCCCCAGAGAGAGAGAGAGAGACAGAGACAGAGACAGCGACAGTGAGAGGGAAAGTAAGAAATCACGCAGGGGGCATGGTCATGCTATAATCCCTTCTTTTCCATTCTGCTCTTGGGATCTTGGACACTTATGCATACACACACACAGTGTGATTTTCAAGCCACTGGGTTTGGGACTTGAACCATGGTGAGTCATGTGGGAGTCCAGTGACATAACTGCTACACCATCTGCTGGCCCCATCTATGCATAGTTTTTTTTTTTAATAATATGCAATTTCAATGAGCTTTTTTTGAGATTCATTGTGTGCCTACACAAAAAATTGTGCGCTAGTTCCACAGTGGCATTATTCACCACAGTTTAAAGCAGTACCAAAAGAAATGTTATGAATTGATGATGAAAGGATAAATATAAATGATTTATATCCATGCAATGGATTTTTTTTTTTGCAAAAAATCCAGGATTGACATACTGATACATGCTACACTATGAATGAACCTTGAAAACATTATGCTACATGTCTATATTATGAATGAACCTTGAAAACATTATACTACATGAAAGAAAATAGTCACAAAAGACTATTATGATTATGATTATACTAGCATGCAATGTCAAGAATAAGGAAATCTAGGGACCAGCAGTTAGCATAATGGCTATGTCGCTGGACTCCCATGTAGTTGACTGCAGTTTGAGTCCCAGACCCAGTGGTTTAAAACTCTCTCTGGGCACATGTGCGTGTGTGCCCAAGATCCTGAGAGGAGAATGGAGGAGAAGGGATTGTGGTGTGACAATCCCTTCTCTGTCTCTCTCTGTGTGGTGAGTGCACAAAATCCCAGGAGGAGAATGTAAGAGATGGGATTGCAGTTTGACTATAGCCACTGGGGGGATGTTTTCTGACTTTCTCTCTTACTCTCTCTCCTGTTCCCTAGTGAGCACACACACCTATTGGTAAATTGGAAAAAAAGAAAGAAAGAAAAGAAAAGTATTTATTTATTTATTTATTTCTTGTACTGGCAGAGTTGGAGAGAAATGGAGAGAAATTGCCACAAGGTATGGGGTTTCTTTTGGGGTGAAGAAAGTAATCTACTGTTGATTAGAGTTATGGTTATACAACCATGTGAATACACTCAAGAGGTTGAATATCACAATTTAAGTGGATAAATTATATGGTTGTCCAATTATATATTGATAATGGTAATATATAAATGAGTACTTGATTATTATATATCAAAAGTGCCCCTCTCCTGTACGCACACAGTTTGAAAAGCTTGGTCTGCACATCAGGCATAGGTTCCATAATCAGATATTTCAATAAACAGGATGAAGTTCTTAGAAAATACACACAAAGGAGTATAAAGACTCAACTGACTGTAACTTCCTTTGAATAAAGACATGTTAATTACTGATTTATTTATTTATTTATTTGGAGAGATTTTTGCTATAGGGTGTGTGCGCTTGCCAGAAAGACAGAGAGACAGGGAGACAGAAAGTGAGAAGTCATCCCCCGGGGGGGTAGGGGGGGGTGGGTGGCCACACCGCAATCCCTCCTCCTCCATTCTCCTCTTTGGGATCTTGGGCACGCATGCACACGTGCCCAGTGTGAGTTCAAGCTGCCAGGTCCAGGACTCGAACTGCTGTCTACTACGTGGGAGTCCAGCGACATAGCCATTATGCCAACTGCTGGACCCAATTACTGATTTATTTTCACTTATATTGTCCAACATGTTTGGAAATTTACCCAAAGGAAAGATTCACAACCGAGAGGGTGATTTTTACCTTCAGGGGACATTTGCTTGTCTGGAGACATTCTATGTGATCTATGATCCTCTGTTGAGTGGAGCAGAGGTATGCTGCAGACCACTCCACAAAGCATAAGATGACTTCTCCAACAAAGAATCATCCTCCCTGTGTCAATAGCACTATCATTAAAAAATCCTGATCTAGACAACAAATATTAAGGTTGAAGTAATAAAAGGCTATGCATTCGGTTGAAATAATGCAAGGCTACAAATTAGATTTGAGACAAAGAACACTTCTCCCTCACTCCCTAAAGTAGTGTGCTAGGAGAATTAGAAAAGATGACAGGGAGGAATTAAACTCTTGAGGGATGGCTGGGATTTCCACAGGCACTGATCTGTGCACGAGGAAAGATGCTGAGATGGAGGAAACAGCATCGACAATGGTGTAGGGACAGGAACTTAGAACATGTGGGAAAGCAAAAACTTCAGAATACTTTGAAGCCAGTTTGGAAACACTGAGTAAAGCTTAGAATTACTTGATTGAAATAAGATTATGATTCATGAAGTCAAATATAGGTAGAGTTTGAAGATTATTCAGTAGTGAATGAAAACTTGTTAATAGTTTCTGGGCATTTGGATGACATTTTTGAGATATTTTTGGAGAAATTTATTTGGCAGTTTTATTAACATTTTGAAGACCTTTTGATATTAGAGTAATTTAGGATATAACTGTAATATTAGGGACCTGTTGTATTGGCATGTGTCAGTTGTATTTAAGAAAAAGAAAAAGCTAAAAGTAAGGGCAGATGGTGGTGACATGGTAAAATAGTGTACTCTGAGAAACTGACCCACCTGGGAGTGTTCTGGATTTGTGTTAGGAGACTTCTCAGGGTCTACATGGTATGCAGGTGCGCCTGACCCAGAGTTAAAGGAAGCTGTTGGTGGGTTGTAGTGTTAAGGTCTTTTGGCAGTGCTCTCTGTCTCTGTTGCTCTTATTCTTTGCTGCTCGTGTTCATGGAAGAAATAAATTAATAAATTCCAAAAATTAGAGATAAATAAATTTGAGCTACAGAATGCAAATATAGAGGTGGAACCAATAGGACTTTGAAAGAAGTTGTCTGTGGCGAGAGAAAGCTGGGTGCACACAACATCACCTTCAATGACCAAATGTCAGACACTGCTTTTCCTGGATACTTCTTAAATATGATCCATGTTTTAAAGTCAAGCAGGAATCAGAAGCTTCAGGGAGGTTCAGTACACAGCCAAGTGACTACTTTAGGGAGTGAGGGAGAAGCATTCTCTGGGTAGAACTGGATATCACATCTGGGAAACCAGTAGAATCAGAAGACTAGGAAAAAATTATACTTCTGTAAGGAGGAGACTTTTGATTCAGGTTACACACCTAGTAACTTACCCATGAATCCCAAGATTCCAGTGGATAAAAGAAGAACAAAACAGGAGACACCAAGAATCACTACGGTGAGATACCAGGCAAATGGAACTGAAGATCCTGCCCAGAGAGGAAAAGAGACACTGAGGAGACCAGCAAAGAAAGACTGAATCGAAGAGGAGGATTTTAGAGAGGACATTCCCATAAATTCAAGACCCTGATTCTTGAAAAATGGAAAGGGACAGTGAATGATTGGAAACAAAGTTGAACTGAGAATTGGATCCCTGAGTTCAGTTCCTATTCTGTTACCTACATCTCTTAGGAAAGTGACTTTTTTTTTTTTCTTTTAATAGAGATTTTGCCTTAGTGCATGTGTATGTGCCAGATGGAGACAGAGACAGACAGTGAGAGGGAAGGTGAGAAATCACCCCCCAGGGGGAATGGCCATACTGCAACCCCTTCTCCATTCTCTTCTCAGGATTTTGGGCATGTATACACACTTTCCTGGCATGAGTTTTAAGTCACCAGGTCCAGGATTTGAACCACTGTCCGCTATATAGGATGTAACTAACCGCTATGCCATCTACTGGTCCCCAGTCACTTACTCTAACTTTACCAGAATAATTCTCAGATCATCTCAGTCCTTTAAAAGATACAAAGTAGAATATTATATATATAGACTTACTTTTAGAAAGTAAAGATTTTTCTAAAATAATATTGTATAATTCATTTTTATTGACCCATGATCACAAAACACTGATTTTACAAGTATCCTGTTTACATATGTTTAATCATCTATTATTTTCTCACTGGCAGTCTCATGAAAGTGGGGCAAGCTATTCAAGTGATTCGGAACAGTGGTTTCAGGCTCTAGTTACTTTAGTTACATATACAGAGGTTGAGAAACTGGAAGGCAGTGAAGCTTGGTGCTCTACTAAACTTTACCTTTTTCTTCATGGGATCCACTTCTTTTCTGTGTCTGCTTGGAGTTTGGAGGTTTTTTCAATTCTGCATAAACTAGCTTCCCTTCTTGTCCTGGAGGTTTAAACAGAGATATAGATACTGTTTTATATTCATGCTAATTTTTGAAACCATGTAGTTTCTTTGTTTTTGCCTATTCTTTGAGAGAGGGAAAATGAGAAAAACCCTCAGCAGGATTCTCATGCCAGGATCTGGCCCCAGTAAGATGCCAAAACCATGGATGGGCACACGTGTGTGTGCCTGGCGTGCTGACGGAGGTCCTAGAACACAAATCCAGGACCTTCCCCGTGTGGGTCCAGCCATGTTACTACTGTGCACTGCAAACATGTTCTTGAGAAATACAGATCTATGCACGTCATCCTCTTGTTATGTAGTCTATCAGGTAAATCTTAATTTAGATGACAAAATCTTGGAAAGATGTTAGTCATATTTGAATTCTAAATTAGAACGAAGTCTTTAGGAAAAATTTTAAACAGAGAGCAGAGAGTAGTATCTAGGTTCAGGGATGGAGAGAAAAAAATACTTACCATCCTTTTGCATCCGCTTCTTGGAAAAAGGATGTTTTTCTTCTATACATGTATATTTTTCATCCATCTCAGAAAATTTTTAAGCAACAATTCTAAAAGATATACATATTTGCAGTTTTATTTTAAGAGAAACGTGTTCAGGTTTAGCATCTCTGGGTTCTCTATATATCATTTAAATCAGTATTTAATTCTACTAGGTCACCAGGTAAGTCATGATATATTTTTCTATACAAAAGTGAATCATGACTTTCCTGACAACCCAATATTTACCTGCTGACGTATAAATTTTAATTTTGTAATTTTATTACAAGAAAAATGTTTGCTTCAAATGATTAGTTTTTTTTTTTTTGAGAGTTTTTTTGCTATAGGGCGTGTGCGCTCACTAGACAGACAGAGAGATAGAAAGCGAGAAATCACCCCCCAGGGGGGATGGCCATGCCACTATCCCTTCTCCTTCATTCTCCTCTCAGGATCTTGGGCATGCATGCACACGCGCCCGGCGTAAGTTTAAGCCACCGGGTCCGGGACTCGAACCGTGGTCGACTACATGGGAGTCCAGCAACATAGCCATTATGCTAACTGCTGGCCCCCAAATGATTAGTTTTTAAAACAATTCTAAAAATTACCAGCTATCATTGTTTGTTCTTAGGTCCTTTAATGCTATTTTTTCAAGCAGTACCTTGAGTTCTCTAAATGTATTATCTACTTTAAAAAGTGTAGAAGTGTTGCAGTCTATGAAACATTTATGTCACTGAAAAATTGCCCCTTTCTAGGAAAATACCAAAATAATTTTTTAATTTTTAATTTTAATTTCTTTTTTCAATCATATATGTACCATTTATACTGTGAAGATAGTGTCACCTAGTTATGTGTTCTAAAAATTCCTCTTCATAGTATCTCTTTATATTTTTAAAAATTTTTCTTTGACCTTATCATTATTATTATTATTTTTAATACTCAAAGACAACTTGCTTCCCATATCTTGCTAAACGTCCTTAGCACCTCTACCAACATTGCATTATAAATGGATGCCCTACACTTAGGACTCAAATTGGTTTGATATACTCCTGTGGACTGTGCTGTTTAATTCCTATGATATTTGAAGTCACTGGAGAAAGCTCCAAATTTTCTTTGAAATAATAATATTCCTTGCAAATATTTGAAAAAGTTTACTATTTTGTCTTAAGCATGTTAAATATCATTTTTGTAATCAAACACATTTGCATAGCATCAAATTCCCTCTACTAATTTTTTTGTTTGTTTTTTAAGAGGTTTTTGCCTTAGGGCATGTATTCTCATGGGGGGAGAGAGAGAGAGACAGACTCAGTGAGAAGGAAAGTGAGAAATCACCGCCCCCCCCCAGTTGGGACGGCCATTATTCTCCCATTAGGGATAATGGTAGCTGATCCCTTTTCCCCCATTGTCCTCCCAGGATCTTGGGCATGCATGCACACATGGCCGGTGTGATTTCTAAGATACCGTATCCAGGACTTGAATCATGGTCTACCATGTGGGAGTCCAGTGATATAACCACTATGCAATCTGTTGGTTCTATCAAATTTTTATAATTCTTATGCTCACTGACTTATCAGTGTAACATGAAATTAAATACTTTTTATATATTTTTTCCTCCAGGAATTATGTCCCATTTTATTTTTCATAATATGGTTAGAAAAATAATTAGTTTTAAAATAATTTCTCAGAAGAAAACTTCTCATCAAATAAATATGATTGCACAAATAATATTATAATAATGTTAAAAACCCTTTGCTGTACCTGGACTACCTCAGAAATTTGGAAGCTATATCATATAGGCAACCAAACTCTAGACATGAAAGTGAATAGAGAAGTATTATACAAATAAGAAAATATTATATAATTGGTTAAATAATAACTTTACTAAAACCCCGTTATCATTGATGTGACCATTTGCTCTATGATCACACTGAGCACAGAAGATATGTTAAAATCTTTTGTAACAAAACTGTCTTTTATAATCAGTGGTAAACCATGAAACATTTAGTGAAAGTAATTTCCCTTTAAATTAATTTTAAATTCTGAATTGCTCAGCTCCTTTATTGCAACATTACATTTACTCAGTTGTTCTTTAAAGTCTCTCTTCTTTATGCTCTATGTACAATAATCAAGAGATGGCAGCAGTAACAGTAAGCTGTGATTAAAGTGCTAGCCATGGATAGAGTTGACAATACCTGGTCAGTGAATCTGCAGTCTGCCAGCTATGGAGTCTGGTCCAACTAGAAGAGGTAGGTAGCACCCGTGGACAGTCAGAGTGGATGTGTGTGAGCTGGAACAGAAGACGATACCTCTTGGCTCTACATCTTATCAGCCCTTGTTACTCAGTAAGCATCAGTATTTTTCAGTTGCGTGTATGCATGTGAGCAAGCTCTATTAATATTTGACCCTTGTGCCTCACCCATTTGCATTTTTCCTTACTGAGGTATATGCGGGTTTTCTTTATTACAGAGGAGCTGAATGGGTGAGATAATTTAAAGGGCCATGCCCATTTTGCAGAGAATTTAAGCCAACAAATACTCTCCATTAAAAAAAAAAAAGATTTCCATCACCAACATCTCCAGGACCTTCACCAAATACTGAGATTCTAGATATAATTTCTTGTATCATTGTATCAGACACCACTGTTTGGGGGTCAAAAATAGAAGATATATTTGATTAGATATTTGCATTTATCCTCTATAAGACTAGATAACCGGCTAAGTACAAATATATGAATTTATAGGCAGTCCCTCACCACATTTTCTAAAGGTGATTTTGCATAAGAGCTTTTAAGTGTTATTAAATTGGAAGCCACTCAGTGCCTGATTCCTTCAAAGTATATCTATATTTAATTTGCTTTAATATTTGGAAAAATTCTTTCCATAACATAAAGTTTTAAAAGTCTGATTTTAAGTTCAATCTAGTATATAATACAGAGTTTACGTAATCTAAACTGTGAGCTTAGATGATGTTTGATCTTCTTCTACCCAGGGTATAATTAAATTTTGAAGACCAGAAGCATGTTAGCTTCCTCCTGAGTGGTTTCAAGTGGCATGCATATTATGTAACGGGATTAGCAATGTAGCAATGACAGTAAAGTTGGATTATATAGGTTTCAACTCACTGGAAAAAGGTGACTGTTTTCACCAGTCAATAATAAAAATAGACGGTTGGTTATATTTTAATTGTGTATTCTCATTTATGCTGAAAACAAGCAGGATGGACTCTTTTCCAAAAATGTTTTATTGAGGTGTAGATAGGAGAAACTCTGACTGAAGGAAAAATCTACCCTGATTTTAAAAACTCATTTTCAAGGGGTCGGCAGGTGGTGTGGTGGTTAAGATATTGGACTTCCACATGGCTAACAGTGGTGCGAATCCCAGACCTAGTGGCCTGTAAATCATGCCAGGCAAATGTATGCACATGTCCAAAATTCCAGGAGGAGAATGCAGGAGAAGGGATTGCGGTGTGGCCATCCATCCTGGAGGCTGATGTCTTACTTTCCCTCTTACTGTCTCTCGACTACAAGGGCACATGCCCTATGGCTAAAACCCAACAAACAAACAAACAAAAACCAAAAACGTTTACACAGACGTTTTCAAACAGAGTTAAGTGTAAGGAAAGGACAACGTAGGCAGTATGTGAAAGAGGACAAGATTATTTCTATTCTCCCTGTGTGTTCTCTGACCTTCTCATTCCCTATTTTAGTCCTGGATTCTCCAGCTACTGCAGACACCAGCCAGAGCAGGCACCGGCAAGCTCAGTACTCAACAATATGGCGACTGGAGGTTGAGACCCAGAAGCCTTAGCTTCTGCATCTGCACATCTGTCAAGAAAATATATAAAAAAAAAAAAAAAGAAAAGAAAATGGGACCAGCAGTTAGCGTAATGGCTATGTTGCTGGACTCCCATGCAGACGACCGCAGTTCAAGTCCCAGACCCAGTGGCTTAAACTACGCCAGGCACGTGTGCGTGCATGCCCAAGATCCTGAGAGGAGAATGGAGGAGAAGGGATTGCGGCGTGGTCATACCCGCTAGGGGGTGATTTCTCGCTTTCTAGCTCTCCGTCTCTCTCTGTCTGGTGAGCACGCACCCTATACCAAAAACCGCTCCAAAAAAAAAAAAAAAAGAAAATATCTTCCTAGTAACCACTTTAATCCATTTAATCAAAAAGTTAGTGCTCTGACCCACTTGTTGATCACTTTATTTTCACTGTTAGAACTTAAGAAAACTTTTTTTAACCAAAAATATATTGTAATGATTTACATTATGAAATACATATACCTGCTATTTCGAAATATTCCACCTAAACTTTTATATTCAACACGGTTTTCTGAGTCTTCATTATAAAATTATTTCATTTTACTATTTTCTCCATTTTTTTTGGGGGGGGGGAGGTTTTTGCTATAGTGCATGTGCACTCACCAGAAAGAGAGAGAGAGAGATAGAAAGCAAGAAATCACCCCCCAGGGTGGATGGCCACACCACAATCTGTTCTCCTCCATTCTTTTCTTGGGATGGGCATGCACACACATGTGCTCGATGTGAGTTTAAGCCCCTGGGTCTGGGACTTGAACCGCGGTTGACTGCATAGGAATCCAGAGACATAGCCATTACTCCAACTACTGGTCTTCTCTAAATTGTAAATGATGGTTCAGCCATATTAATAAATCCTTTACAAAATACCAGCAGTTTTATAAGCACTTGCAGGTATTAGCTCATTTAATTCTAAAGTAAATTGAAATTAAAAAAAAATTATTACATTTATTCTAATTGAGTAATATTAAAATCTAGTGGGCATTGTTAACTTTTCATTAGATATCCTTTTTCTCTTGGGACCAGCAGTTGGTGTAATGGCTATGTCGCTGAACTCCCACGTAGCCGACAGCAGTTCGAGTCCCACGGTAGCTTAAACTCACTCCGGGCACATGTGCGTGCATGCCCAAGATCCCGAGAGGAGAATGGAGGAGAAGGTATTGCAGCGTGGCCATCCCCCCTGGGGGATGATTTCTCGCTTTCTGTCTCTCTGTCTCTCTCTATCAGTCTGGTGAATGCACGCGCCCTATAGCAAAAACCTCTTAAAAAAAAGATATCATTTTTCTCTTAATTTCACAGGTATACAATGTAGATAAACACAAAAAATGTCATAGTACACTGAGGAGGTTGTTTTTTAATGTAAGCCCTAGTGCTAAATGTTAAAGCAGAAATAAATGTAAAAGGCTTAAAACCCAATCACTGGGCACTTAGGTTGACTCTATGTCTTAGTTTGCATTTGCAAAATTGTTGGGAGATTTTTATATCTTTTCTTCCAATGGCAAATAGAGCTACATGTTCAATGTTTTATCGGAGTTTCCTTAAATTAAAATTTAAAAAATCTTTAGTTCGTAATTTTAGATTTACAGAAAATTTTTAAACATAATGGAGAGAATTTCCATCTGACGCTCACTTAGTTTTCCTTAACAATATCATTTGCATGATCAAAACCAATAACTAAACAGTGATGCCTTACTATTAATAAAACTTCAGACTTTATTTTATTTTATTTTATTTTACTTTATTTCATTACTTTTTCCATTAATGTTCTTCTGTTCAATGATTCAGTGAGACATCATGGCAGTTAATGATCTTGTTTTCTTTAGTCTGTAACACATTCAGTCTCCTTTGGTTTCCCATGATAATTTTGAGTACTGGTGAGATGTTTTTGAAGACTGACTCTCAATTTGTATTTCTGTTTTTCTCTAACTAGCCTTTAGAAAGACCACTACAAACGTGAAGTACACTGCTCATTAAATCATGTAAAGGATACATGTTAACCACATGGCATCAGGTTAATGTTCCGCTTGGTTAAATTACTGTTTGCCAGGTTTCTCTACTGCAAAGATACCACTTCCTCTTTCCTCTGTTCTTCAGAATAAATTCATTAGTCCACTCCGCTCTAGTTGGGTTTAAGCTCCATCTCTTGGAGAGAATTTGAAATTCACGTATAAGGAATATTTATCTTTTTATCCTCTGTTTACTTATTCAGTTATTTGAATTAATATAGGATCAGGATATTAATTTTATACTTCCTGTTAATACAAAACTGCTTTAGTTTGCTTCCTCAATTGCACCATTTGGGCCATTGAGAGCTCTGTAAGATTAGTATCTGTGACATGACCTAATCTTACATTTTGAGCAATTTATTGCTTTCTGGCACTATAAGATGCTCTGGCTGGTCATGCTTTCGTTTGCTCTCAACCATTTCTGTCTCTATAGAGCTCTACTTCCTTTTTCTGGTACATGGTATTAGAACAAGTTCTGGGTTCTGGGTCTGTTTGCAACTTCTGGAGTTCTATTCCTTCTATGATTACTAGATGGATAGATCCAGGTAATACCCTAGGTCATGCACACACACACACACACACACACACACACACACATACACACGTAATATGAATCTATCTGCATGTAAATGAAGCTCAGCATGAATTCATAATGATGTCTCTGAACCTAATCCAATAGTATAAAGTTGTTCTAATCCTCCCTTTTTCTGTGGTTTCCGTTGTAATCTTTCCTCTTTCATTTCTGATATTATTTATTTTAATCTTCTTTCTGTCTATTTCTTTTTCAGTTGAGTAGCTAAAAGTTTGTTACTACTGTTTATCTGCTCAAAACACAACTCTTAGTTTTATCAGCCTTTTCTATTGTTTTCTAATCCGTGTTTCATTTATTTCTGTTCTGATCTTTATTTTTTCCTTATGCTATCATTGGACTTAGTTTGTGTTTCTATTTCCTTGTGGTATAATGTTAAGTTGTTAACTGGACATCTTTCTTCTTTTTTGATGCAGATGTTTATTGCTATAACTTTTCCTTTAGAACTACTTTTGCCCCATCCCAGAAGTTTTGGCATGTTGTGTTTTAGTTTTTGTCTCAAGGTACTTTTTAATTTCCCTTTTAATTTTTCAATTCACTCAGTTGTTCAAGAGCATGTTGATTAATTTCCATGTATTTGTCAAAAAAATTTTTTAAAGGTTTTTGCCATAGGGCATATGACTTGTAGGACAGAGACAGAGAGCAACAATGAGAAGGAAAATGAGAAAGCACCCCTTAAGAGGGATGGCCACAGAACACTTCCTCTTCTTCCATTCTTTCATCCTTGTCTTGGGATTTGGGGCACACACACACACACACACACACACACGTGCCAGCATGATTTCTAAGCCACCAGGTCTGGGACTCAAACTACAGTAGGCCATGTGGGAGTTCAGTGCCTTAACCACCATGCCCCTTGCTGGCTCTATTTGTAAATTTTAAACATATAGTCCTGTTTTTGATGTGTAGATTCATACCATTGTGACCAGAAATGGTACTTGACGTGATTTCAATATTCTTAAATTGATAATGTTTTCTTGTGGCCTAATATATGATCCACCTAGGACAACAATTCTGTGTGCTTGAGACTAATGTGGGAACAGCAGGGGGCATGGTGGTGGAGGCACTGGACTCCTACATGGCCAAACAAGATTCAAGTCCCAGACTTGGTGACTTTCTTTTCTATTTTCATTTTCCAAACAAGATTCCCAGACTTGGTGACTTTCTTTTCTATTTTCATTTTCTCTCTCTTTGGTGAGTACACATGCCCTACAGCAAATTAAAAATAAAAACAAAAATAAATAAATAAAATTAATAAATAATTCTTAAAAAAGGGGGCTAATGTGTACTTTGTGTCTGTTGGTTGGATGGAATGTTCTCGATTGTCTGTTAGATTCATTTGGTCTAAAGTGTAGTTCAAATCCTAGGTTTTCTTATTATTTCCCACATTTCATTGCTTCACAAATACATTAAACTATGGGCCAGCAAGTGGTGTGGTGGTTAAGGTGCTGGAATTCCCACATAGCCGACCACGGTTCCAGTCCCAGACCCGGCGGCTTCTTTCTCTCTCTCTCTTTCTCTGCCAAAACTCATGTGAAAATAATAATAATAATAATAAATAAAGCTAAATAAATTTTAAAAATACATTAAATTAAACTTATGAACAAAACTAGAATCTAGTTACAAGTGCACTGTAATTTTCTTCTGAAACATTTTTAATTAATTAATTAATTAATTAATATTCATTCCCTGAGCATTGTCACAACATACAAAATATTATTTCCCATCCAAAATATACTGCATGGTAGCTTAATCATACATATTGTCATTAATTTTCCATTCCTAGTTTCTCATATATTCATGTATATATTTATTTTACCCCTATTTCTCACCCTCAGCCATTTCCCACCATCCTCCCACACTATGTTAGGTGTCTACAGTTGTTATCCATTCCTTTTTCCCTCCCAAATTTTATTGATTCACAAAATTGCTTAATAAGTCTAACTACTTTCAAAAGCAAGTTTAGCTGGTATGTACATATCAGTGAGTACATGTCCGACTTTAGGCGTGAAACTCTGAGTAGCATGAATATAGTAAAAGGTAACACCTAGCTGATGCTATAAAGCTTAATATGGTCATTAAATAGGTATTTTAAAATATAGTTTTTGAGTTCTGCCACTGACTGAGCTGCAGTCGCGATGTCGCCCTACCTGGCCTTGGCGCTGCTCGCGCTACTGTCTCTGTCAGGACTGGACGCTGTAGAACCTGCTCCAAAAATTCAGGTTTATTCTCGTCACCCAGCTGAAGATGGAAAGCCAAATTACCCAAACTGCTACGTATCTGGCTTTCATCCACCTCAGATTGAAATCGAGTTGTTGAAGAACGGAGTGAAGATGGAGAATGTGGAGCAGTCAGACTTGTCTTTCAGTAAAGACTGGTCTTTCTATCTTCTGGTCCACAGTGAATTCACACCCAATGGCAAAGACCAATATAGCTGCCGGGTGAAACATGTCACTTTGAAAAATCCAGAAGTAGTTATGTGGGACCAAGACAACTAACCAGCATCATGGAGGTCTGAAGATAGCTCATTTGGATGGGACTAATTCCAAGTTGTTTTCATCTTTTTAATATTGATAAGCTTATATACTTTATGCACAAAATTGATGAGGTTATAATGATATTAATATAGGTATAATCTTTCCAGTTCTACTTTGGGCTCTGTCTTCATTTTGGGACCTGGCAGGAGCACTATGGTAACTCAGCGTGGGAAGAAGAAAATTCTCATGTCCATCATCAACATCTTGGTCAAATCTGAACTCTCCTGTCTCTTCTGTACACAAAAGCTGGATATTAAGGGAACCAGCAGTTAGCATAATGGCTATGTCGCTGGACTCCCACGTAGTAGACCGTGGTTCGCATCCCAGACCCGGTGGCTTAAAACCCACGCCGGGTGCGCGTGCGTGCGTGCCCAAGATCCCGAGAGGAGAAAGGAGGAGAAGGGATTTGCAGCGTGGCCATCCCCTCTGGGGGGGGTGATTTCTTGCTTTCTGTCTCTCTGTCTCTCTCTGTCTGTCTGGCGAGTGTACACGCCCTATAGTGAAAAACCTCTCAAAAAAAAAAAAGCTGGATATTAAAACAGTTGTGCATGTTCAGGTTAACTTCTAATTTGCATGCTCTGCTGACAATTTGGGGTAAAATTTTAGAAATATAATTGACAGGATTATTGGAAATTTGTTATAATTGATGGAACAATAAATTTCATAATTCCTCTTATACTTCTTAAAGTGTGATACGAGCTTATGTATATTTTTATTTCTTAATTAAAACAATGGCAAAAAAATAATAAAATAAAATATAGTTTTTAATGTCAAGAAAAGCAGTTTTAGCTTTAATAAATCAAAGAAATGCTAAGGAACTTTACTTAAAACTTAAAGCCAGGAAAAAGGAGTCTGTTCAAATAGTAGGTACATGAACTTATCAGCAACTCAAGACAGGACAAAAATCCTTAAACTTGGAAAACAAAACCTGGAAGAAAATCATCATTGTTTTAGTCAAAAGTCATAAAATGCTATTTCACCAGTTCAGTCTCATGTACTGAGTCTATCTTCTGTTGTGATCAGATCTTCCCAATTAAATTCTGAGATATAATATTCAACTCCAGACATGTTTCTACAATTAAGTTGGCCATTTTCTTAGTTTTTGAACTCTTATTTCTATGTGTCTGTATTTAATTTTCCTGATAAAACCTTCCCTTGAGAACTTCTTGGAGATCTGGTCTGGTGTTGGTAAATTCTTTCAGGTTTTGTTTATCTGAGAATATTCTTGTCTTTTCTTCCCATATGAAGGATAATCTTGCTGGGTACAGTATTCTTGGTTGAAATTGCTTTTCCCTTAACACTTTGAATATATTTTCCCATTCTTTCCTCGCTAGCATTGTTTCTGATGAGGGGTCTGCTGTTAGCCTGATGGGATATCCTCTTTAGGTAACTTGATGTTTTTCTCTTGCAAGTCTTAGTATCTTATCTTTGTCTGCAGTTTTGGTCAACCTGGTTATAATGTGTCTTAGAGAAGATTTTCTTGGGTTGATTCTATCTGGGGTCCTTTGTATTTCCTGGGACTAGATCTTTGAATGAAAGTTTTCTTTCAGGATTTCATGGACTAGATTATCAATGCCCTTATTAATAGTCTCTTCACCTTCTGAGATACCAGTTATCCAGATGTTTGGACATTTGATGGTATCTAGTATTTATCACATATTATTCTCATTTTTTTGTCCATTTTCTCAGTCTTCATGGTGGATTTTTCTAGGCCAGCAATTTTCTCTTCTACATTTGAGATTCTATTTTCTGTATGATCTAGTCTGCTTTTAATACTTTCAAGGGAGATTTCGACTTCCTGTATTATAGTCTTGATCTCTAACAGGTCCATTTGATTCTTTTTTATAATGTGTGTTTCCTCTTTTATGTCTCGCAAGAATTTCCTCATCTCCTGGAACTTGTCAGCTCCTTTCTCCTGCCTCTTTTACAGTTCATTGTCTCTCTTCTCTTCCATCTCTGTAAGCTTTATCATTATGAATCTTCTAAATTTCTTATCAGACATTTCCATGAGTTTTATTGTACTGTCTGAGGATGAAGAGGACTTATACTTTTACCTTGGAGGACAGGTGTTTTCTTGCTTTCCTATATTTCTTGTAGTCCTGCAGTGATTTCTAGTTATCTGATAGATGGTGTGTTTCTTCCTAATTCTTGATGTTCAAACTGAGCATTCAAAGGTGAGCAGAAGGAGGTGATCTGCAATGTCTCTTCTGTTCCATGTTCACTCTTTGTGCATAAGATTCAAGGTAAATAGAGGATCATTCTGACCCTCATCATATTCAGATATTTGGAAACTCTTCACTTGGACTTATCTCGATACTTAGTGCATAGAGGCTGATCAGGCAAGGAATAAAGATAAAGAAAAAAGGAAAAGAATTAAGAGGAAAGAAGAAAAAATAAAATGAAAAACAAGAAAGAAAAAAAGAACGATAAAAAAGCTTCAAGATTATAACTTTAAAAAGCAAAAAATGAAAACTGCATACATGCAGTGTGTGAAACCAATAATTAACAGCCGAAGTAGGGTATCCATCTCAGTATAGGCCTGGCTTGGATTGTGCCTTTCTTAATTGAAGTGAAGAAAGGCATCGATTAACACAATTAAGGAGAGGCTTGAGAGCCCAGAGAATACTTAACCTTATAAAAATTAATTAAAAAATTAAAAGTCACAGAGAGACACAGGTGAGACAGAGATAGACAGAAATGGAGAGAAAGAGACACAGAGCTATCTCTATTCACTAGAAGTTAGTCTGGAGGGGAAGTCTCAGCAGAAAATCTTCATTATTGGTCAAGGAAACTAATATTTCACAGCTGAAGTAGGAAATCCATCTGAGTATAGCCTAGGCATTTTAATTAATTTTCTCTGTGAATAATGTTTATTTCTCAAAGTGAAGTATTAAAATTCCCTACTATTCTAGTATTATGATATATTTTTTTCTTCAGATAGTTTAATATTTGTTTTATATATTTAGGTACTTTTTTCTTTTGGAGAGGTTTTTGCTATAGGGTGCATGCGCTCACCAGAATGACACAGAGAGACAGGCAGACAGAAAGCGAGAAATCACCCCTTGGGGAGATGGCCACGCTGCAATCCCTTCTCCTCCATTCTCCTCTGGGGATCTTGGGCATGCACCCACACGCGCCCAGGCGTGAGTTTAAGTCACTGGGTCCAGGACTCAAACTGCAGTCGACTGTATGGGAGTCCAGTGACATAGCCATTACACCAACTGCTGGTCCCTATATTTAGGTACTTTTATGTTGAGTGCATATATGTTTACAATTGTTATATGCTCTTGACATAATAACTCTTTATTCTTATATAATGTCTTTTTTTTCTGTTTTTGTATTTTTTGACTTAAAGTTCATTTGTAAGATATAAATATAGTTACCATTGCTCTCTTTTTATTTCAATTTATCTAGAATATCCTTGTCTCTTCATTTTCTGTCTTTATGTGTCTTTAAATGTGAGTGAGTGACTTATCGGCAGAATATATTTGGACATTGTTTTCTTATATATTTGGTCACTGTATTTTATTTGGAAATCCATTTATAATCAAGGTTTTAACTGATAGATAAGTACTTATTATTGATATTTTGTTCATTGTTTTCTAGTTGTTTTGTAAACAACCTTTTCACTCTATTGCTGTCCTACTTTGTGGTGCATTATCTACCATTGTAGATAATGTCTATCTTGTTTCGTGCATAGACTACGGATTTTTGACTTGTAGTTACCATGCCACTTGCTTAGGACAATTTTTACTTATTAGTAATCTATTTCAAGCAGGTAACATTTTAATTTTGATAGCATACAAATACTCTAAACTTACACACTTCCCCATATCACTTTTGATGCTTTTGATGCCAGAATTTACATAATTTTTAAAGATTTATTTTATACATTCAATCACTACATATCATTACAGCTTATAAAGTGAATTTTCCCAGCATGAATACACTGTATATTAGTCCAGTTAAAGATATTATAATACGTGTTATCATTAACAGATAATTTTCCATTTATGTGTCCCTCAGATGTTTTGCTTTTTTATTTTTTGTTTTGATTCCCTAACATAATTTTGTAACTATGTATCCTAAATTTATTTTAATAATTGTTTAATATTTGTTTTATATATTTAGGTACTTTGATGTTGGGTGCATATATGTTTACAATTGTTATATGCTCTTGTTGACATATTCTTTTTTTTAAAGAATTATTTTATTTTAACTTTATTTATTATTATTATCATTATTATTTTCCAGTTTGATCAGAGAGAGACAGAGAGAGAGAGAGAGAGGAAGTGAGAAAGCAAGCCACCAGGTCCGAGACTTGAACCATGGTCGGCCATGTGAGAGTCCACCATACCACTTGCCGGCCCCGACATATTAATTCTTATATAAGGTCTTTTTTCTGTTTTTGTATTTTTTGACTTGAAGTTTTTTTTTTTTTTTTTTTTGCTATAGGGCGGATGTGCTCGACAGAAAGACAGAAAGACAGGAAGTGAGAAATTACCCCCAAGGGAGGATGGCCACACAACAATCCCTTCTCCTCCATTCTCTTGGGATCTTGGGCATGCATGCACACGTGCCCGGCGTGAATTTAAGCCACCAGGTCCAGGACTTGAACTGCAGTCGACTACGTGGGAGTCCAGCAATGTAGCCATTACACTAACTGCTGGTCCCTTAAAGTTCATTTTTAAGATATAAATATAGTTACTGTTGCTCTCTTTTTGTTTTGAGAGATTTTTGCTATAAGGCACATGCACTTGCCAGAGAGACACAGAGAGACAGAAGCAAGAAATGACCTCCTGGAGGGATGACTATTCCACAATCCCTTCTCCCTTTTCTTCTCATGATTTCGGGCATGCATGCAAGTGCGCTCAGTGTGAGCTTTCAGACCCTGAGTTCAGGTTGACCACGTGGGAGTCCAGTGATATAATCATTATGCCATCTATTGGTTCCAATTTTAGCTATAGTTTTAGTTAATAGTTTTGGATTTTGACCCATGTGCTAGGGACAAAATTGCTATACACATTACCATAACAGTTTGAGTGTATTCTTAATGTGGTCAGTATTACTT